TCCTCGCACATACGACTGGTCCTCTCACTTACAACTGGTCCTTGAACTCATGACTGGTCCTTGCACTTACGACTGGTCCTCTCACTTATGGCTGGTCATCGCACTTACGACCATTGCAGTATCCCTGCGGTGATGTGATTAAAATTTGGGTGGCCTGTATTTATGACGGTCACAATGTCCCAATATCACATGATCACCATTTGCAACCTTCTCAGCCGTCTTCTGAAAAGTCACTAGGTGGGGGGGGAGCTGGATTCGTTTAATGACCGCATGATTCGCTTAACAACTGTAGTGATTCACTTAGCAACCCTGTCCAAAAAAAAAAAGGTGGTGAAAGCGGGCATGACGCCCTTAATGACCGTCTTGTTTAGTAATGGAAATACTGGCCCCCAAATTTGGTGATAAATTGAGGACTAGGGGTATAGATAATTCGTTGGCTTGGTGGAGGGACTTTGCAAGCTTGCTTCCTTTCTTAAGGAGCCCCCCAAGTCTTCCAAATAAGAAAAATAAAATATTTGAAATTCAGATAGTCCTCGACTTACAAAAGTTCTCTTAATGACCATTCGAAGTTACAATGGCACTGATAAAAGTGACTTACGACCGTTTTTCACGCTTACGACCGTCGCACATCCCCATGGTCACGTGATTTACATTTGGATGGACAACTGACTCATACTTACGACGGTTGAGGTGTCTCACGGGATCCCCTTTTGCGACCTTCTGAAAAGCCGAGCCAGATTTATTTATTTAACAACCGGGTTACTAACTTAACGACTGCGGTGATTGGCTAAACGACGGTGGCAAAAAAGGTCGTAAAACGGGACGAAAACCCACTTAAGCACCGTCTCACTTAACGACTGAAATTTTGGGCTCCATTGTGGTCGTTAAGCCGAGGGTCACCTGTATTGGCCTCCCCCAGTCGTGACCCACCTTCCTGGCTCCAGATTACGTTGCAATTGGAAGCAACGATGCAAAGCTGCAAATAGGCAGATCCTTCTCCGAAGAGCTTAAATATGCCAAGGTAACCAGTAAGGAGTTTTAACTGAGATGGATGAAGGTTACCTTCTTTAACAGCTGTTCTTGGACTTCGGCGTTGACCTGAGGTTGGGCGCTGGGTGCGTCGGACGTTGTTTGAATTGGCTTGGGTCAGTTGAAGAGACAAGAGACCTGTGAGTACCAAAATCTGGAGCATTTTGTATTCTCAACCTTGGCAAGTTTAAGATGGATGGACTTCAACTCCCAGAATTCCCCAGCCAGCAAAGCTGGCTGGGGAATTCTGGGAGTTGAAGTCCATCCATCTTAACCTTACTAAGGTTGAAAAATGCTAGAATGATCCCTCCGGAGCGCAACACCCATAATGCACCATAATCTCCTTTTTTTCCGGGATGTCCCATCGAATTCCAGAATTTTTTATCGGTTTCCCCTCGTCCATTTCTCTCAATTTCTGCCACCCTCCATTTTGCTCTTTATTCAGTGAAAACTATTCCTGGATTTGCATCACAAGCCAGCGATGATTATACCCATTTTCTGGAAGTGTGTAGTGCAACTGAGTAAACCGGTTTTTTGGGTTTTTTTTTTAAACATTACTTATAGGGCGTGTCAAATTTTTCAAACTTTCCATTTCCAAATGTTAGGAAGGTGCTCAAAAGTTGTGATGTGCTTTGTAAAGATAGTTTGCTTACTTTAATATAATTTAGATGTGTTTGGTAAGTAACTACATGAATATCGTGACTTTTTAACATTTTGTTATATTTCATTTGCAGAACATAATGAAAGGGAAAGGAAGGGAAGGGAAGGGAAGGGAAGGGAAGGGAAGGGAAGGAAAGGAAAGGAAAGGAAAGGAGAGAGAGAGATAAGGAGAAGAGAAGAGATGGAGGAGGGAAGAGAAGGAGGAAAAAAGAAGGAAATATAAAATAAGAAGAAAGGAGAAGAGAAGAGAAGTAGGAGGGAAGAGAAGGAAGAAAGAAGGAAATACGAGATAAGAAGAAAGGAGGACAGGAAAGGAGAGAAAGGAAAAGAAGAGAAAAGAAGAGAAGAGAAGCAGGAGGGAAGAGAAGAAGGAGGAAAGAAGGAAATATAAGATAAGAAGAAAGGAGGACAGGAAAGGAGAGAAAGGAAAAGAAGAGAAAAGAAGATAAGAGAAGGAGGAGGGAAGAGAAAAAGAAGAAAAGAAGGAAATATAAAAGAAGAAAGGAGGAGAGGAAAGGAGAAAAAGAGAAGAGACAAGGAAATATAAAATAAGAAGAAAGGAGGAGAAGAGAAGGGAAGCAGAAGGGAAGAGAAGAAGGAGGAAAGAAGGAAATATAAGATAAGTAGAAAGGAGGAGAGGAAAGGAGAGAAAGGAAAAGAAGAGAAAGGAAGATAAGAGAAGGAGGAGGGAAGAGAAAAAGGAAAGAAGGAAATATAAAAGAAGACAGGAGGAGAGGAAAGGAGAAGAAGAGAAGAGACAAGGAAATATAAAATAAGAAGAAAGGAGAAGAGAAGAGAAGCAGGAGGGAAGAGAAGAAGGAGGAAAGAAGGAAATATAAGATAAGAAGAAAGGAGGACAGGAGAGGAAAGGAAAAGAAGAGAAGAGAAAAGAAGAGAAGGAGGATGGAAGAGAAAAAGGAGGAAAGGAGGAATATAAAAGAAGAAAGGAGGAGAAGAAGAGAAGAGACAAGGAAATATAAAATAAGAAGAAAGGAGGAGAGGAGAGGAAAGGAGAAGAAGAGAAGAGGAAAGAAGAGAAGGAGGAGGGAAGAGAAAAAGGAGGAAAGGAGGAATATAAAAGAAGAAAGGAGGAGAAGAAGAGAAGAGACAAGGAAATATAAAATAAGAAGAAAGGAGGAGAGGAGAGGAAAGGAGAAGAAGAGAAGAGGAAAGAAGAGAAGGAGGAGGGAAGAGAAAAAGGAGGAAAGGAGGAATATAAAAGAAGACAGGAGGAGAGGAAAGGAGAAGAAGAGAAGAGAGGAGAAGAGAAGAGAAGAGAAGAGAAGTCACTTTAGTGCAGTGGTGAAGGCACTGTGATGGTGAGTTCTAGTCCTGCCTTAGGCGTGAACACTAACTGGGTGATTTTGAGCCAATGACTAGAAGACTGTGAGTTCTAGTCCCATGTTAGGCATGAGAGCCAGCTGGGTGACTTTGGGCCAATTACCAGGAGACAGTGAGTTCTAGTTCTACCTTAGGCACGAAAGACGGTTGGGTGACTTGAGGCCAATCACCAGGAGCCTGTGAGTTCTGGTCCCGCCTTAGGCATGAAAGCAGGATTGGTGACTTGAAGCCAGTCACAGTCACTTAGCCCAATCCACCTCACAGGGTTGTTGTTGCGGGGAAAACAGGAGGTGGAAAGGAGCATTTAGTATCTTTCCTACCCTGAGTTGTCTGTAAAAACAATCAAGATGGGATAAAAATAAATGAGCAATAACTCAGTTTAAAAAAGTTGGGGGAAACGGAAGTGTGCACCCCACTGGCCTTGACCTGTTGCGCAAACAGTCGCAAAACTTCCCGAGGCGAGAGCAGTTTTGCAAATTACAACCAGAGCTGGCATTGTGTACATTGTGCGATACGGAAAAATAACCCGGAGTGCAAAATCAATTCATACGCCGATGATTATGTGCGAACAGATGCAATCCCAAAATTACAGAAAGCTGTTTTTGCTTATGTGCAGTTTTGGAAGACGCAACTCGCCAAAAAAAATAAAAAATAAAAAAAATCACAATATTTTTTCTTCTTCTTAAAGATGGGTGCGTGAGAAATAAAGAAACGCAGACCCCACTTTCCCCCCCCCATCTGTCCCGTGGCTGCTAGCCGAGCGATAAACAGCTGGAGCTGAAGTCCAAACAATAATAATTAGAATTATTGTTCTCCTTCAGAATGGCGAATAAGCTGGGATTGGACTTTCCATTCAGCCGAGCACTTCTGTGTAATTGTAGATTGCCTTTTTCGATAATTACTGGTTTGTGCCAGTGGGGAATATATTCCTTTTTTCTTTTTCTTTTTTTTGCAACGCAAGCTATTTTCCTATTTTGCATCGCCGCGCTCGAATATTTGGGTGGACGATAGAGGTCGGACTTTCTCTCAAGTTCTACTTCTCGGTTCTTCGTGCAACGCAGCGGAAAAGATTTGTTGTTTTCGCCCCTGAAGCGCGTACAGGTAGTCCTCGACTTACAACAGTTCATTTAGTGACTGTCCGAAGTTGAAAAAAGCGACTTACGACTGTTTTTTTAAACACTTAGGACAGAGGTGGGAGTCAAAAATTTTAGCAACCGGTTCTCTGCCTGGTTGCTGGGTGGGCGTGGCCATGGTGGGCGTGGCCTACTCAGCCTCCTGCACCATGGCAGTGGTGGGGGGGGGACATTTTTGCCCTCCCCAGGCTCCGGAGGCTTTTCTCGAGCCTCTGGGAAGGCGAAAACAGCCTCCCTCAGGCTCTGGAGGCCCTCCGGAGGCCGGAAACGAGCCCGTTTCCAGGCTTCTGGAGTATCCGGGAGGCCCGTTTTTCACCCTCCCAGAGCCTCGGTGCAGGCCCTGCACTTACCTGGCATTCAAAACAGGCTGCATGGAGACTCTTGGGAGGGGCAGGGCAGGGTGTGTGGGGCCAGCCAGTCCTTGCAACTACCGGTTTGGCGAACCAGAAGTAAAATTAGCATCCGGTTTTCCCGAACCGACTGAATCCCACCTCAGATGTAGGACCGTTGCATCATCTCCATAGTCACGTGATCAGAAATCAGACCCTTGGCAGCTGACTCATATTTATGACGTTGCAGTCTCCCGGGGTCATAGGTGATCCCCTTTTTGCAACCTTCGGACAAGCAACGAGGAAACCAGATTCACTGAACCACTGTGTGACTGACTTAACAACCGCAGCGATTCATTTAACAACTGCGGCAAGGAAGGTCGCAAAACAGAGCCAAATTCACTTCATGACAGAAATGGGGAGGGCGCACCGTTGTGGTTGTAACTCGAGGACTAGCCGGATGCCTTTAAATCCCGCTCGGTCATGGATCACTCACACAAATCTGAGGGATGATGCAGAACCTTTTATTACAAAAATATCTTGCAAGCGAAAAACAAAACAAAACAAAACCAGGAAAAAAAAATATTAAGGTGCAAATTCATACAAACACGTACTTTTCGGATCCACGACAAATATATCCCAACGACTCCAATAACGCCTCCCTCCCCCTCCCTCCCTCGCCTCCCCTGGCCTTAGTTCCATTTATCCTTCCTGCAAAACTGAGGCCAAGCACTGAGGCTATTTCACAATCTGAGTTGGGATTGTTTTGACTTCGTTTCCCATCATTCCTTTAGCTGTGGAGGCTGGAATTCTGGGAATTGAAGTCCAAGGCAGGTGGATGAAGGTTGCTCTACATCGGGGATGTCCAGCCTTGACAACTTTTAAGACTTGGGGACTTCAGCTCCCAGAATTCCCCAGCCAGCCATACTTTTAAGACTTGGGGACTTCAGCTCCCAGAATGCCCCAGCCAGCCATACTTTTAAGACTTATGGACTTCAGCTCCCAGAATTCCCCAGCCAGCCATACTTTTAAGACTTGGGGACTTCAGCTCCCAGAATTCCCCAGCCAGCCATACTTTTAAGACTTGGGGACTTCAGCTCCCAGAATTCCCCAGCCAGCCATACTTTTAAGACTTGGGGACTTCAGCTCCCAGAATTCCCCAGCCAGCCATGCTGGCTGGGGAATTCTGGGAACTGAAGTCCACAAATCTTAAAGTCCCCAAGTTGGACATCTCTTGCTCTACACAATCACTAATCACTTCCCCATTCCCTGCTTTGCAGAAGACCGAACATTCGTTGTCACTATGGGAGCGCTTATAACTAAAGCAAGGCAAACAGCGGGTGTGAGATCTTCGCCATGCTGGTGTGTTAGCCCCAAACGGCAGCCGTGACTCAACCCACAAAGGGCCACCTCCTTCTCCGTTGTGTTCATGAGCCTACAAGCATCACAACTGGCTTTGTCCCCCACTCCAGTTGTGGCACAGCACGGGGGAGTGAGAATTCAGAGCTGAGCTGGATGAGACGGATCAGAAGGGGAGGTGGGAGAACCAAGCTCCAATAGTGGTCGCTTGCCAGAAGGAACATCTACGTTGGCTTTGAGGGACATGCCAACCCTTGTCCTTCCCAAACAGGGATGGAGAAATTGAGGCCTTCAGATGTTGTAGAACCACAACGCGAGAATGGGACCTCCTGGGAGTCGTAGTTCTGCCAAGGTCTGGAGGGCCATAAGTTCTCACCTAACTTGGTCTCTGCAACCTAGGAAAGTCTGTGAGGATTTGATAGCTTGACGGCTTCCCTTTTAGATCCTTCATACAGATAGGACTTCTCCCATGGTGTTTTAGAAAAAGCAGGGATTTCAGCAGTATCTGGACCCCCAAATCCAGAAGTGTGACCTTGAATTAGCTATGGTGAAAAGAGGCTGTCCAAGATGAAGATGGCCTTCAAATATTTGATGGAGAGCTAGCCGAAAGCAGCAGAGGACAATGGGGAAGGTGAGGGAGAAGGATCTTCTGACTTTGGAAGGAATGCCAGATCCCTCAAGGTGACCCATATGCCTTCCTGGGACCTTTTGAGATCTTCTTGGGTCCTCAGGATGGACATCGGTTGCAAGATGGACACAGGCGTGTCGGAAGACATCCCTTCTCCATCCTTCCATGTCCACCAAAATTGCCAGTTAGCCCCTAAACATTATAGTAAGGAGGAACACAACAACAAGGAGGATCTTGGAAAAACCATCAAGAAGAATTTTGGTGACTGGTAGCAGGAGCCACAGAAAGTTGGTTGTGAAGGTTCAGAGCAACTTTCCCCCAGCTGGGCAACTTCTCAAGAAGTTGGGACTACAGCTCCCATCACCATCTGGAGGGGCGTCACGATTGGGAAGCCCAACCTTTGAATGGACCACCTCTTCCCCAGCGCTCAGGCCCTTTCCCTCATTTTTCCGGATTCTCTTTTCACACTAGTGCTAAGTACACAGTACTACACTCACTTACAAAGAACGTACACAAATATTGGTAATTTTTTTTTTTTAAGTTGTAAAAGGAGTACACGGTTATAATGTGGAACAGTCACCGTAGGCAGTACAGCAGCATCTCGTGAGGCGCCCCTAACCCCGTAAGATTGGCAAACGGACCTCCAGTTTTAGGGACTGTCTTCTCCTTCCCTCACTCTTATTCAACTGCACTTCCAGAATGGGACAATAAAAATAAAAATGAGCGACTTATAAAGAAGATGGGGGAAAGAAAAACCAGCTCCACACATCTGAGAAGAAACCACAAAATAAGGGGGTGGGTTGACCTCTTCAAAGACGTTAGAGATCGAGCCACATGGAGCCCCCTGTTCCTCTCACTTCATCTGGAGATGTTTCCTGAAGATCAAGAAGACATCCAACCAACAGCCCCCCATCCTCCCAAAGCCCCCAGCCTCGTTGTCAAGGTCAACCGTTGTCCTTCTCGACATCCCACCTGACGAATTCATGAGTGCACGTCTACGGTGGAGCTACAAGAGAAGACGTGTTGTGCGATGCTGTAGACCGGGAAGAGTTCTCCAAACGTGGCCACTTTTAAAGACATGGTGGACTTCAACTCCCAGAATTCCCCAGCCAGCCACGCTCTGGTTGCAGGTCTTGAAGGCCTCATACAATAAAACAGGTCTGATCCTGGTTTAAATCTCTGGTCAAGGCTAAATCCTCAACTATAATGTAATTTCTCTCCCTGCTCCTTTTAAATGAAGTTTTAAGATCTTAACACCACGAGATGGTGGGGGAATTCTGGGAGTTGAAGTCCACAGGTCTTAAACGTGGCCACGTTTGGAGACCCCCCCACTGTAGACCTATCTTCTTGGAGACGGGCTTGTCTTTTCCACGTGGATGGTGGAAAGAGAAGGGAGAGCCACCATTCAGAAACACACACATACACACACACGCACACACACACACACAGAGATCTTTACCGTTAAAGAGTTACTCTTAGTTTACTATGGGAGAAGAAGGCCAGTAACGAAGATCGTGGATGGGTCAGTCAGGAACCCAAGCGATTATTCAGTGGAGGTTCCTAATTTCCTAAGGCCCAAAAAGTGGACCACAGAAGCTGTTTCACGTGGTCCGTCGCCTCCCTCTCTAAACGAGAAGTCCTTAAGGGAAGAAATGTTGATTTAAAAGAAGAGGAGGAAGAAGAAGAAGAAGAAGAGGAAGAAGAAGAAGAAGAGGAAGAGGAAGAGGAAGAGGAAGAGGAAGAAGAAGAAGAAGAAGAAGAAGAAGAAGAAGAAGAAGAAGAAGAAGAAGAAGAAGAAGAAGAAGAAGAAGAAGAAGAAGAAGAAGAAGAAGAAGAAGAGAGGAGATGGACACTCGAGAAGGTTTTCTACGGATTGTGGCCTTGCCAGCAAAAGCCTGACTGAAGCTAACTAAGCTAAAGAGGCACGTCTCCTCAAGGAGAAACCGAGGAAGTATCTGCGGGTTAGAGTAAAGCAAAGTGAAAGAGACGCCATCTTGGCCAAAAATTGAGACTTCCTCTGCCCAGAAGCACTTGGGAAGTAGTCCCTCTCCGTCTCCCCTTCTCCTGAAATCTAGTCCAAGACCTCGGAAGGGGACAGGAGTGCCTGATCCGAAGGTTGGTTTCAGTTTTACGGGGAGGTGAGTTGTGGCCACTGACGGAACCTGGCTCCGTGAAGCAGGTATCTCAAGGTGGCATCTCAGCAGCTTGGTGATCTCCAAGGCCAACGAGAAGAGCTTCCATCAGGAAAGAGCCAGACACGGCAACCAACCGGCCTGCACCCACAGGCCTCTCGTGGTCTGCTTGTCCTTGGGTGGCGTGTGGACGACGTATGAGGAAGAGAGTGGAGGTGCTCGGTGAGAAAAGCCGTGTTAGATCCGTCGTGACGTCTCCCGTCCGCTCAGCGAGCAGGGAAGGAAGAAGCTCAAAAAAAACCCCAGGATGCAGCTGTGAGTAGCACCAAACAGTTTCCAAGGAACCTCCGCCGAGACCGGGAGGAGCACAACATCGAGAGTCCAAGCCCTAGCAGAAGATTCCCCATCCCACTGGTCAGAGGTCCTTCGAGCCCCCTAAGCGGCCGCCGCCTCTTCCGGAGATCACTTATTCTGCACCTGGACGCTGGCGTACTCCGAACTCGCTTCCTCGGCCCTCGGGGCCGGCCGCTTCGGCGCTTGGTTCAGCTGGACCATATCCAAGTCCGCGTAGGTTACGTTGTCGTCGTTGGGCAAGGGTTGCACCGCCTGGAGGGTGGCGTATTCCGATTGCAGGGGGCTTTCCACCGCTGGACAGGGTCTCTTCTGGGCCACCTTGTCGAAGTTTAGATCTGCATAGGCCATGTTGTTGGGATCGGTGTCCTGAGCGGGATAGGGAGGGAGGGAAGGGGAAAATAAAGGGGGGGGGGGAGAATGGAAGGTGAAAAGAAAAAGGACATTTTAATTTTTTTCCCCTTTAAATATTGGGATGGGTTCAGATCAGGGGTGAAATCCAGCAGGTTCTGACAGGTTCGGGAGAACCGGTAGCGGAAATTTTGAGTAGTTCGGAGAACCGGCAAATGCCACCTCTGGCTGGCCCCAGAGTGGGGTGGGAATGGAGATTTTGCAGTATCCTTCCCTCAGGTGTGGCGAGAGAATGGAGATTTTGCAATATACTTCCGCCAGGAGTGTGGAGGGAATGGGGATTTTGCAATATCCTTCCCTCAGGAGTGTGGAAGGAATGGGAGTTTTGCAGTATCCTTTCCCCAGGAGTGGGGAGGGAATGGGGATTTTGCAGTATCCTTTCCCCAGGAGTGGGGAGGGAATGGGGATTTTGCAATATCCTTCCCCCAGGAGTGGGGAGGGAAGGGGGATTTTGCAGTATCCTTCCCCCAGGAGTGAGGAGGCAATGGGGATTTTGCAGTATCCTTCCCTCAGGAGTGTGGAAGGAATGGGAGTTTTGCAGTATCCTTTCCCTCAGGAGTGTGGAGGGAATGGGGATTTTGCAATTTCCTTCCCTCAGGTGTGGGGAGGGAATGGGGATTTTGCAGTATCCTTTCCCCAGGAGTGGGGAGGGAATGGGGATTTTGCAATATCCTTCCCCCAGGAGTGGGGAGGGAAGGGTTTTTTTTGCAGTATCCTTCCCCCAGGAGTGGGGAGGGAAGGGGGATTTTGCAGTATCCTTCCCCCAGGAGTGGGGAGGGAATAGGGATTTTGCAATATCCTTCCCTCAGGAGTGAGGAGGGAATGGGGATTTTGCAATACTCTTCCCTCAGGAGTGGGTGGGAATGGAGATTTTGCAGTATCCTTCCCTCAGGAGTGGGGAGGGAATGGAGATTTTGCAGTATCCTTCCCCTGCCATGCCCACCAAGCCACGCCCACAGAACCGATAGTAAAATAATTTGAATTCCACCACTGGTTCAGATAGAAGAGAATAGCTCAGGGTTGAGCTGGGGCAGGGGTAGGCCCGGGGGCCAGATCTGGCCTGCGTGGTGGCCCTCCCAAGCTCCGTTTTTGCTGGCAGAAGGTTGGGTGCCCCCCAACACCAGTGATGTCGAGCTGGCCACGCCCCCCTGCCCCCCCGAAGTCAAACACCTGATCCGACCCTCAATGAAATCAAGTTCGACACCCCTTAACTGGGGGGGGGGTCCTTGGTGTTCTCTGAGCTTGTAGACATTTCATTACCCAACCAGGTAACATCATCAGTGCTAGAAGTGGGTGGAGGAAGAACAGGAAGAGGACTAATAGAGTTGGAAGGGACCTTGGAGGTCTTCTAGTCCAACCCCCTGCTCAAGCAGGAAACCCTACACCATTTCCAGACAAATGGTTGTCCAGTCTCTTCTGACAAACCTCCAGTGATGAAGCACCCACGACTTCTGGTGGCAAGTTGTTCCACTGGTTAATTGTCCTCACTGTTAGGAAGTTTCTCCTGAGTTCTAGGTTGCTCCTCTCCTTGATTAGTTTCCATCCATTATTTCTTGTCTTGCTGTCAGGGGCTTTGAAGAATAGGTGCATCCCCTCTTCTCCGGGACAGTTCCGACAGGCAGGGCTAGCTTCATAATTGAGTTTTAAATTCGGAATTCTTAAATTTTTGGTTTTTTTTTTAGCTAATTGGCCTTGAATGCAATACTTTTAATAGTTTTTAAATTTAAATTGTGATATCTATATTGTGTTTTTACCTGGCTGTACACCGCCCCGAGTCCTTCGGGAGAGGGGCGGTATAGAAATAAAATTATCCTATCCTATCCTATCCTATCCTATCCTGTCCTGTCCTGTCCTGTCCTGTTGGATCCTTATCCTAGGGTTAGGTAGATAATATGTACTGTAACTTTAACTGCTACAAAATGACTAATTGATTAAGTGGTTAAAACAGAAATAAAAGGAAGGCAGGAAGTTCATTCACTCCTGCTCACTCCTGCTCGTGATATTACTGCTAAAAATACTGTGACGGTGATACGGAACGAGAACTGTAAGCAAACTTTGTTTTGTACTGAAAGTGTTATCTTTGTTTATGAGAAGCCAGGTTTGTTTGTTTTACAACAAGTAAAGACTATTTATTTTTCTAACAACGTTCGTATCCTATCCTATCCCTCAAATATTAGAGAGCTGCTATCATGTCTTCCCTAGTCCTTCTTTTCATTAAATTAGACATACCCAATTCCTGCAACCGTTCTTTGTATGTTTTAGCCTCTAACCCTTTAATCATCTTGGTTGCTCTTCTCTGCACTCTTTCCAGAGTCTCAACATCTTTTTTTATAGTGTAGTGATATTTATAGTGTGGTGAACCATATTGTTAGAAAAATCTATAGCACCACAGAGTGGTGGACAAAGAGTACAGTCACCATGTGCTTTCCTGCTCAACTGTTTAACTGTAACAGGAAACAGGGAACTCTACTTAGAGCAAAAGAACATAGAGTTTTTTTTGTACTGGGGCGACCAAAATTGGATGCAATATTCCAGATGTGGTCCTCTTACCACCCTTGGAGAAGTACTGTGGGGTCCTTGGGGCTCGCTGAGCTTGGTTGTTTTCTTGCAGATGTTTAATGACCCAACTAGGTAACAACATCAATGCTAGGAAGGAGTGGGATTCGCGGAGAGGGGGAGGAGGAGGAGGAGTAAGGCGGCAACTGTGGGGTCCTTTAAGCCAGGGGTGAAATGTAAAATTTGTTACTACCTGTTCTGTGGGCGTGGCTTGGTGGGGGAATGGTAATGTGACTACGTGGGCATGGCCAACTTTTTTTTAAAAAAAACTTTTCAAAGCATTTTTTCTAATGCTTTGAAAAGCCTCTGCCGATCAGGCAACTCAGCTGGGATCATCAGAGAGGTGTCAGCGTCCCAGCACTGACATATAAAAAAGGGAGGAGAAGCCTGAACTTTTGCCTGCTAAATCCCTTTGAAGATTCTGTCTCCTCGGAGATGGGAGAGGAGGGAGACATTCCTGTGATCTGACGAAGAAGGAATCAGGAAAGTGACTTGGAAGATAGCCAATGAGAAGCAGAGAATTGGGGATCGGAAAGGGAGGGATTGGGGGGCAAAGGTCAGCACTGACCGCGAAAGAGTCAGGATCAGATTGCTGTGCTCGAATAAAGAGAAAATTTCCTTAAAGATCGGTCGTTTCGAAATTCATTTATTTTGAGATAGCATCGAAACCTGACAAGAGGCTTTTAAAAAAATGCTTTGAAAAGCCTCTCTGACGATCCCAGCTGAGCCGCGCGATCATCAGAGGCTTTTTTTTTTTTTTTTACTTTTAAAAGCATTTTTTCGTCGGAAGAAGTTGTAGAAAAAATGCCTTTAAAAGTAAAAAAAAAAGTCTCTGATGATTGTGAGGCTCAGCTGGGCATGGTGGGGGGGCGGCAGGGATTTTTGCTACCGGTTCTCCGAACCACCCGCCGCCATCACTACCGGATCGGGCGATCCGGTCCGAACCGGGAGCATTTCACCCCTGCTTTAAGCTCTCTGAACTTGATTTATTTCTTGCAGATGTTTCATTACCAAACTAGGTAAGATTATCAGTGCTAGAAGGGACTAAGGCAGTGGTGGGTTGCCCCTGGTTCAGACCGGTTCGCAGGAACCGGTAGTAAAACCGGCGGGAGGCCCCGCCCACTGTCCCGGATGTTGTCATCGGCGATCTGCGCATATGCAGAAGCTTCCGAACCAGTAGTAAAGGTAAGTAGAACCCACCCCTGGAGTGGGGGATTTGTTCTCTGTGTTTATCCTCCTCCTCTTCTTCCTCCTCCTCCTCTCCCCCTTCTCTTTCTCCTCCTCTGCAAACCTCCCTCCCTTCTAGCACTGATGATGTTACCTAGTTGGGTCATGGAACGTCTGCAAGGAAACTATCTAGGAAACCAATCTCAGAGGGCACAAGCAGAGTGTTGTGGAATCCTGGGAGTTGTAGTCCCGACATCGTAAAATGGCTTAAGAATGGCTTAAAGAATGGTAAAATGGTTAAGAAACTCTTGAGTTTAAATCCTCAAATATCGTGCATGTTTTCTCCCGGCTGCTTTTAAATTAAGATTTAAGATCTTAACACCAGCCAGCTTCAATCTGTCCGCCCATGGTAGAATCCAGATTTTCTTAGTGAGCAAATGGATAAACAACATATGGCTAAGAAAGAGGCGTAACTTCCCAGCTGACTTGCCTGATCGGCAGAAGCATTTTTTTTTTTAAGCCTCTGACGATCCCAGCTGACTTGCCTGATCGGCAGAAGCATTTTTTTTTTAAGCCTCTGACGATCCCAGCTGACTTGCCTGATCGGCAGAAGCATTTTTTTTTTTAAGCCTCTGACGATCCCAGCTGACTTGCCTGATCGGCAGAAGCATTTTTTTTTTTAAGCCTCTGACGATCCCAGCTGACTTGCCTGATCGGCAGAAGCTTTTTTTTTTAAGCCTCTGACGATCCCAGCTGACTTGCCTGATCGGCAGAAGCTTTTTTTTTTAAGCCTCTGACGATCCCAGCTGACTTGCCTGATCGGCAGAGGCTTATTTTCCTTTTTAAAAACATTTTTTCTATAACCTCTTCGGCCGAAGAGGTTGTAGAAAAAAATGCTTTTAAAAGCCTCTGATAATCCCAGCTGAGCCGCGCGATCATCAGAGGCTTTTTTTTTTTTAACTTTTAAAAGCATTTTTTCGGCCAAAGAGGTTGTAGAAAAAATGCTTTTAAAAATAAAATAAAAAAGCCTCTGATGATCGCGCGGCTCAGTTGGGCAAGTGGGGGGGGGCAGGGATTTTCGCTACCAGTTCTCTGAACCACCCTCCATCGCTACCGGATCAGGCGATCCGGTCCAAACCGGGAGCATTTCACCCCTGGCTGGAAGGGATCTCAGAGGTCTTCTAGTCCAACCTCCTGCTCAACCTTACACAGAGAGTTTTCAACTTACAACAGTT